GATAGGGCCACCATTTTTTCCTCTGGTGTTTGGCTGGAGTAAAGCAGTTTTCATTTAAAAGTCTTGCTCGGTTGCTCTTTCCTAGTCTCTAGCTAGAGAGAGCTGGCGATTGTTGAGGCATATTTTTGTCTGTATCTACTGCTGTTTCCAGGACTAAATGGAAACGAGGAACATATTACTGGAAATTGGATCCTTACTATAGAGTGACAAAGAACTTGACTTAATTGTGTAGTGTTTTGCAGAGGTAGAATTTGCAAGCATTGAAATTGGGTATTTAGCCAGGCATGGTGACATGCGCCTGAAACCCCAGCAGCTAGGGAGGCTGGAGGAGGAGGATCCCAAGTTCTAAGCCAGCCTCAGCAATTTAGTGAGGCTGTAAGCAACCTAGTGAGACCTTGTCTCTAAATCAGAAAGAAAAAGGGCTTGGGATGTGGCTCAGTTATAAAAGCCCTTGGGTTCCATCCCTAGTTCCAAAGAAAGAAAGAAGGAAACGAAGAAGAAAAAAAGAAATTGGATATTTAGCTGAAGAGTTGTTTTCGGTGGGTGGGCAGGTGGGGGGGTTGTTTGTTTGTCTTTCTGGTTCTGGGGATTAAAGCTGAGAGATTTCTAAGCAAAAGGGAACCAGAATTTGAAGATTTGGGAAATTCTCAGCCTATTCATATTGCAAAAATGAGAAAAACGTGTTTCCAAGAGAACACCAAAAGTTGGGTATACTATCACTCAACAAAGAACCTACAGGCTTATAGGAGCAGAAACACTACTTGTTTGAATTGAAGAGGTCAGAGGTGGGAGGCAATGAAGAATGGACTCCTTGCATTTGACAGGACAGACAATAGAGTTATTCAGATATGAGTGTGAGCCATTTTTCAAGAAGAGGAAAAGTTTGCCTGTAATCCCTGCAATTTGAGAAGCTGAAGCAGGAGGAGCTCAAATTTGAGGCTATCTTGGGCAACTTAGAAAGACCCTGTCATTTCTTCCCCCTTTTTGATTTTTCCCTTTTGGAATGAAAAAATATGCCTTATGCCTGGCCACACTGTATTTTGGAAACACATAACTTGTCAGATTTCACACACAGCTGGAGAGGAATTTTTCCTGGGGATCAAATATACCTCAATGAATTATATATCACCCTTATCTGATTGGATGATATTTTTATTAGTCTATTTATTATTTTTTTATAGCACTGGGGATTGAATCCAGGAGTGCTCTACCACTGAGCTACATCCCCAGTCCTTTTATATTTTTTTTTTTTTTGAGATAGGGTCTTGAACTTGTGATCCTCCTGCCTCAGCCTCCCAAGTCTCCAGGATTACAGGTGTGCATCACTGAGCCTGGCTAATTGGAGGATATTCAGATAAGACTTTGGATTTTAGGCTTCAGAGTTGATGCTGGAAGAAGTTAAGACTTTGGGGGCTGTCAAGATTAAATGAGTGCATTTTGCATGAGTTCAATCCCCCAACATGATGGTATGGTATTTTGAGATGGGGCCTTCGGGAGGTGTTTAATGTTAGATGAGATTATGGGGAAAGTGCATTCATGATTGGATGAGGGTCTTTATATCAACCCACAGAGATCTTACTTTCTTTTTCTCTGTGCCATGTGAGGACACAGGAAGAAGACGGCTGTCCACAAGCCAGAAAGAAAGCCTTCACCAGAACCTGCCCATGAAATCAGACTTCCAGCTTCCAGAACTGTGATAAATAAATTTCTGTTGCTTAAACCACCAGTCTATGATGTTTCAATATGGTATCCCTAGTAGACTTAAGATATATGTTTACTCCCTTTTCCCACAAGCCCTCCTTTTCTTGAATTACTCACAATTGTACTATAATTTAACTCTTCCCTCATTAATGGATGTTCATGTTGAATTCTATTGTTTTGGTATTACAAATAATTCTTGTAATTTTATAATCCTTGCACAGATATCAATAACTATTCACAATTTTATTTCTGTTAAACATATTTTCCAGAATAGCTGTTACTAGGTAAAGGATTTTAGATTTTATTTTTTATTTATAAAACATTGCCAGATAATATTTGTTTATTTATTGACACTGGGGACTGAATCCAGAGGAGCTTTGTCATTGGGCTACAATCTTTTTAGTTTATTATTATTGTTACTATTTTATTTTGAGACAAGGTCTTGCTGAGTTGCTTCAGGGTCTCACTAGGTTACTGAGGCTGACCTAGAACTTGTGAGCCTCCTGCCTTAGCCTCCCAAGTTGCTGGGATTACAGGAACGAGCCACCATACCTGATGCCAGATTACTTTAAAAAATTAGTCTAATAAACTGGGTATGCTGGTACATGCCTGTCATCACATCAACTTAGGAGACTGAGGCAGGAGAGTCACAAGTTTAAAGCTAGCCTCAGTAACTTAGCAAGGCCCTAAGCAACTTAATGAGACCCTGTCTCAAAAAATGAAAAGAGCTGATGTGGATCAGTAGTAAAGCGCCTCTGGGTTCAATACCCACTACCAAAAAAAAAAATTAGTTTGATAAAGCTAAGCTTGGTAGTATGTGCTTCTAGTTCCAGCCACTCAGAAGGCTGAGGCAAGAGAATCATATAAAGACATTTACATGTGTGTTCAAAGACATAAGGTAATTCACTATAGAATTGTTTATGATAACAAATTGAAAATAGCTTAAATGTCCAACAATACAAGATTAGTCAAAGAAATCATGCTGTAGTTATGCAAAGGATTATGCAATTACTTAAAAGAAATGAAGTAAAACTATTTACATATGTGTATATATATGTGTGTGTGTGTATGTACATATATATACGTGTATGTGTATGTGTCATCCACACATATGAATATAAAACCATCTTCAAAAGATATACTTTTTTTTTTTTTTTTTTTTTGGTACTGGGGATTGAACTCAACCACTGAGCCCCATCCCCAGCCGGATTTTGTATTTTATTTAGAGACAGGGTGTCACTAAGTTGCTTAGCGCCTCGCTTTTGCTGAGGCTGGCTTTGAACTTGCAATCTTCCTGCCTCAGCCTCGAAAGCCACTGGAATTACAGTCATGCACTACTGCACCTGGCTATCAGATATACTTTTTAAAATGAAAGAAAAGAAAATTTTGAGTGCTCTGAAACAACTTTCTCTAAGAGACCCTAGGCCTGAAAGTCAAAAGACCAGAGTTCATTTAGTTCAAACTCGACTCTATGTGGGCACAAAAGCAAGGATTTCTGCCCTGACCCTAGCTTCCTCACCAGTAAAACCGACACTTGGAGTCATATTTCCTAAACTTCATCCATTCACAGACCTCATATACAATTTTAGCCAAATCTACCTATCCAATTTATGTAACATCTTTAATTTTTAAAAAAATTTTTAGTTGTGGATGTTTTTAGTTGTTTATTTAGTTTTTATGTGGTACTGGTTCGAACCCAGTGCTTCACATGTGCTAGGCAAGCACTCTACCATTGAGCCATAAACCGGGCCACATTTAATTTTTTTAATTAAATAAATTCATTTAAAAAGGAAACTATAACATTAACATGAACAGAAAGCCAGTGTTACCTGCCATAAAAGGAAGCAACAGTAAAACAAACAAACAAAAACACAAAAGCTGCTGGACTAGGTGAAAAGTTGGCACAAGCCTGTATCCCAGCTACTTGGGAGGCTGAGGCAGGAGGATTGCAAGTTAGAGGTCAACCTGGGCACTTTGGAAGACCCTGTCTCCAAATTAAAAATAAAATGATGTAGGGGTAGCTCAGTGGTAAAACACCCCTGTGTTCATTCCCCAGTACAAAACAAACAAACAAACAGAAAACAAAAAACAAAAGAAAGAAAGAAAAGAGAAGAAGAAGAAGAAGAAGAAGCAGCAGCAGCAGCAACAGTAGCAGCCAGAGCATGCCTACAATCCCCAGCCATTCTGGAGGCTAAGGCAGGAAGATCACAAGTTTGAGGCCAGACTGGTAAATCCCTATCTACAAAAAAAAAAAAAAAAAATCGCTGGCTGGGGATATAGCTCAGTGATAGAGCTACTTGCTTAGTATGGGTTCAACCCCAACAGCATCCAAAACAAACAAACAGACAAAAAAAGAAAACAAAACAGAAAAAAAACCCACAGAGTTATAAAGACAATGAGAATAAAATATATGTGAAAAAAAATTTTACAAAATGGTTCTAAGAAATATTGGAGTCTTTAGTCTGGAGATGTTACTTACTTTAAAAGCAAGGAAAAAAATCATTCAGTTACCTTTTTTTTTTGATACTAAGGATTGAACTCAGGGGCGCTCTCCCACTGAGTTACATCCCAGCCTTCTTTATTTATTTATTTACTTTTTAATTTAAAGACAGACAGGATCTCTATAAATTGCTGAGAGGCTTGCTAAATTGCTGTGGCATTTTCGAATTTGCAGTGCTCCTGCCTCAGGCCCTGGAGTTGCTGGGATTGCAAGTATGCCACAGCACCTGGCTAGTCTGTTGCTTTCAATGGAAATAAAGTATCATCTACATGAGTCTGTATATATATATATATATATATATATATATATATATATATATATAGTTGTTGTTGTTGTTGTTGTTTTAGTACCTGGGATTGAACTCAGGGGTACTCAATCACTGAGCCACATCCCCAGCCCTGTTTTGTAGTTTATTTAGAGACAGGGTCTCACTGAGTTGCTTAGCGCCTAGCTTTTGCTGAGGCTGGCTTTGAACTTGCTATCCTCCTGTCTCAGCCTCCCCAGTCACTGGAATTACAAGTGCGCCACCATGCCCGGCTGTAGCAATAATATTATTGAAACCATGCATTTTAAGTGATAATTATTTTTCTAATAACCATTAAAATATTAAAAATACCACAGTACTAAAAGCCTGTTGTCACCAGCAGTCGGAGTAGGGAAATTCCAGAAAACAGTGCCACAGAATTTCTATCAACTCCAGCTCTTTGGGGGTCCCAGAATTTACTAGGTGCAGACCTCTGACCACAGGAGTGTTCAATCCATTGTTTTCCTCCATGGATGGGGGACAGGGAAATCCTACCTTTGGTCAAGAAGTTGTTCTGATTTCCCAGAATCTTCTGGTTAGAATGTTTCCAGGTAAACAACATGTTCTTCTTCTGGGAAGCTGTGCAGGGCAGTTCCACTGAACCATCCACTTGGCCCATCACCATTTCCTTTCCCTGAGTGACCACTGGGAGCAGTGCTGGGTGAAACAGAAAGGGATCAGGCCTCTGTACTGCAATGCTTCATCTTAGCATTTCCCCACCTCCCAAACCCCAAGTGTGAGCACTTACCCAGTTGCAGTACCAGGAACAGTTGCCAAAAAGCAACTCCTTGGTTCATTTTAGCCTTGCTGAGGTATCAGGCAGGGGCCTGAATCATCAGGAACCTGAACCTGCAGAAATGGTAGAGACCAAGGGAGTTAATAATCATTAGTTACTAGGTATTCATTGGACCTGGGCATGCAGAGACCTCGCTCTTCCTCAGGACCATTAATCCAGCCCAGGAAACCGGACTTGCTTATACCTCTAGTACATGCCACAAAATGCAATGCCTAGCTAGGCATGGTGGTGCACGCCTGTAATCCCAGCAGCTTGGAAGGCTGAGACAGGAGGCTCATGGGTTCAAAGCCAGCCTCAGCAACTTAGCAAGACCCTAAGCAACTTAGTGAGATCCTATCTCAAAATAAAAAATAAAAAGAGCTAGGGGTGTGGCTCAGTGGTTAAATAGCTCTTCATTTTTCTAAATGGCTGAATAAAACTCCCTAGTGCCAAAAAACAAATGCAATGCCCTGGTTAATATTGGGTGATATTAGTAGCATAACGGCAATTTCTCAGGCCTGACTTAGCCTCACATCTCTCTCTCTCTCTCTCTCTCTCTCTCTCTCACTCACACACACACACACACACACACACAAACACACAGAAATTAATGTATCCCTGGATATTATATAAAAATATGAATATATTATGTGTTTTATATTAATAAAAAATGTACTGTATTAAAAAATACAGGCTTAAGTATCAGGGCATTTATATAGAGTTGTAGTTTTCTAATAAAAGTATAATAGATTTCTTGGGAGAATTTGGAGAGAAAGTAACTACATTTGAATTTTTTCTTTGCTTAAGAAATATCCAGTTTTGAAAGTTTGTAGTATGAATGGGTTTTCTTGTTCTGTTGATTATTTGAGGCTTTTAACAAATAGTTCATGAAAGGAAATACTGGACTCAAGTAAAGAAAATCTCTTTTCAGTTGGATTTCTTGCCTGCTTAGACTTTAAAAATGTAAGCATGAATTGCCAATTTCACTTCATGTAAATTACACACACACACACATACACACACACATGTTTATATATAAAATTTTATTTCACCTGTGAACTGTTAACTTTATCACTTCTACGGATGTCATTTTGTTTGTTTGTTTGTTTTTTGGTATGCTCCTGGAGATTAAACCCACATGCCAGCAAGGCTCTGAGTGCCCTGAGCTTCATCCCTAACCCCAATGTTATAATTTTCAAATATACAATATGTTTCCAGATGTGCCTTGCATTCAGGCTGCCTTTTTCTCATTTTGATTTTGTTGCGTCTCCTGCCTGCTCGCCAAAAGCTTGGATGCATCAGGCCCACGTAGAATTGAAAGCAGAGGCATCCTGAGCTTTAAAGCATAAAAATTCAACATACCACATATTGAGGTGGAAAAAATAGTTTGCTTATTTATTTATTTTGGGTGGTGCTGGGGATTGAACCCAGAGCCCCACAGATGCTAGGCAAGAGCCCTATCACTGATCTACACTTGCAGACCCTGTATGGGTTTTTGTTTGTTTGTTTAAAAAAAAAAAAAAGAGGGGCTGGGGATGTGGCTCAAGTGGTAGCATGGTAGCACACTCCCCTGGCATGGGTGCGGCCTGGGTTCGATCCTCAGTACCACATACAGACAAAGATATTGTCTCTGCCGAAAACTAAAATGTAAATAAAATATTTTTTTAAAAAAAAGGTGGGGGGGAGGGAGTGAGCTGTTTGCCATTTGGGATTAGAAAAGGATTCCCAACAAAGGTGGCAAAGTCATGGGAAACACAACACAGAGTCAGGCTAGGATGCAAAGCTCTTGCTACTACTTGGGGCTGGACAATAGGAAATGACTGAAAAGGAAGAGACAAAGGGGTCCAAACAAGAGGCTGGGGTATGTCTGCTCTGTCTTTGCTCTGTGTGTGTTTTCTGGTAATCACTCTGTGTCTAACCTCTTCCTGCTCTGCCCCATCACAGCTCTGGTCAGGTGATTCCTTATCCACAGCTCAAGTCCTCGTTTGATTCCAGAAACAGCATTTCTACCTCTTTAGGACCCTTGCTTCTGTTACTAGTGTCTGTGTGCCTCAACACACTAGTTGCTTTCCTTAACCCTGTCCACATCTCTGTAAATAACCCTTTCTACAATCCTTTGAACCACCTGAAGCAGACTCTGTTTTCTTTTCTTTTTTTTTTAATATTAATTTTTTTTTGAGAGAGAGAGAGAGAATTTTTTAATATTTTTTTAAGTTTTCGGTGGACACAACATCTTTATTTTATTTTTATGTGGTGCTGAGGATTGAACTCAGCGCCCCGCACGCTACCGCTTGAGCCACATCCCCAGCCCCTAAATGTTCATTTTTTAGTTGTAGTTGGACACAAACCTTTATTTTATTTATTTATTCTTATGTGATGCTGAGGATCAAACCCAGGGCCTCGTACGTACTAGGCCAAGTGCTCTACTGCTGAGCCATAACCCCATCCCCCAGACTCTGTTTTCTTTTTTAAATATATCTTTTTTCAGTTGTAGTTGGACACAATACCTTCATTTTATTTATTTATTTTTATGCGGTGCTGAGGATCGAACCCAGTACCTCCCATGTGCTAGGCTGGTGCTCTACCACTGAGCCACAACTCCACCCCCGGAGACTCTGTTCTCTTTAAGACACTAATATATAATTCTTTATAGGGGTGTAGCACTCAGAGGAGGTGCTGGGGATTGCTCACCCTAATGAGGTTTGGGAGAAGACAAGAAAAGCCCTTTCCAGTTACTTAATCTGCCCAGAAGAAGAATTACCCAGTCAGGCAAGAGGCTTCCAGGAAAAGAGGGAGGGAGACTAGTCTCCAGTCACGCTAGTCACGGGTGAAGTTGTTTACAAGTTAACACAGGGCGTGGGAAGCATTTAGGGGAAGTCTGAGGTGAGAAGAGTAGGGTAGGCCTTAAATGTTGTTTCCACTGGCCCCCATCCCAGATTGATTGTGTCCTTGTGAGGAGAAGTTGAAGACGGACAATGTCTCCACTTGAGATTTCCTTCTCTGGGGTTCAAATTCAGCTTACCATGGTAAGATGCCTGAGGAAGGAGAGGAGTGTTCTCAGCCTTCCCTAGATGGTAGCCATTTTGTCTCTTCCCTCTCCACAACTCCAGGGTCTGTGCAGAAGGCCACCTCCTTCTTCTTCTAATTCCTTGCACAGCCCCATCTCAGTAAGGGTTCAGCTTAGTGGAAGAGGCTAGAGGCTGTGGGTTTCCAGCTGCTGTTCACTTTGGTGTTTTGGGCTTCCGCTGCCACCCTAGAGATCTGGCCTTTGATTCTCATATCCTCAGCGTCCCCAGAGAGGCACTTTACCTCAGTACAGTAGCATTCTGTGTACCATCACCTCTGGGAGAGACTAGGAGGGCTGACTCGTTGTGTATCTCCCCGCCCCGCCACCTTCCTGGTCTCTTGTCTCTCTCCCCCCTTCCCTCCCTCCCCCCCTTTCTCTCTTTGTTTCTCTCTATATATCCCTTTCTGTCCCTCCCTCTGCTTACACCTGTACATTTCTGATACTCTATTTCCCCATGCTTATGCCTCCTTTCAACTCCTGTGTGTGCCTCGTGCCAGGAACCTTTGGGCTCTCCTTCTCTTCTCACTTGGGGTTCTCCCTGCCTTTTCTCCTTTCTCATCCAGCTGCCACCAAGATCTAGTTCCTTCTATACTGTAAACAGGCGGCAAGGCTTCTTGCAGGAAAGCAAGCTTTTCACAGGCTTTGGTCTGTGGGTGGGCAAGGGAGATGGCTGCATGGTGGAAGGGACACAGTGGACAAAGGGAGGTGGGCAGATCATCTCAGAAGCACACAGAGGTCTCTGGGAGGACAGGAGGGAGGAAGGGAAGAAGAGAGAGACCCAGAGCAGCTGGTTAAAGCAACAGCCACTCTTCATACTGTACACAGAGCTTGGATGAGTGGGTTCTTTGTTTCACAAATTCAAAGAACAAAATCTACGACACTAGGGTGAGAACAAAGTAACAGGATTTATTAGAGTAGTAGAAAGAAAGAAAGCAGAGTTCCTAAAGGGGAGGTGTGCCAATGGGTGTCTGTTGTCTCAAGGGTTTTTTGGGTTTGATCTCTCCCTAGAGTTGATTTGTGGGATAACAGGATTCAGAAAGGGGCCAATCAACTCTATTTTGTCCTCTCAGAAGGTCTAGAGAAAAGTGATGTCTAAGACTTAATTAGCACAAGAGTAGGAGTGAGGATTTGTTGGCACAAGAGGAAGTAACTTTTGTAGTTGTTAACAAACTGTCCTCGTGGCTAGGATCAGCTGAGATCAGAAGCCTTGGTTTCTCAGTCCTCTCTTCTTCCTTTCCTTCTCTGAGACCCATTTTATGGCTGCCTATGGATGGTCTTTCTGTCTCAATACAATCTACCATCACATGCAAAGCTCAGAGTCTTACAGAAAAGGTAGAACAGAGGCAAAGAAGTGAAGAAATTCTGGGAGGGAGCCAGACATGGTGGTCCATGCCTATAATACCAGCAGCTCTTGAGGCTGTGGAAGGAAGATTGCAAGTTCAAAGCCAGCCTCAGCAACTTAGTGAGGCCCTAAGCAACTTAGCGAGACCCTGTCTCAAAATAAAAAGGGTTGGGATGTGCTCAGTGGTTAAGTGCCCCTAGGTTCAATCCCTGGTACAAAAAAAAAAAAAAAAGTAAAAAGAAAAAGAAATTCTGGAGGCAAGACATACACAGACAGCAGCAGACCAAACGAGAGACAAAGAGGGACCAGGACAGGGATGTGAACAAAATGGCAACACACACTGAGTTCCGCCAGGGTGCTTGAGGTTCCTGCCACGCTCACCCCCTGCCCCCCAGGGTGGGATAAGGAGGAGGCTGGGGAGAGGAAGAGGGCACAGCCCTACCACAGTGACAGTCTGTGGTCCCACAAGCACTTTTATCTTCCCCCTGTTGCCCCCAGTCAGCCCACTCAAGCCTAGCCGCAGAATGCCCGCCCCACATGGCACCCTGCGACTGCTGACTGGCTTCCTACAAACTTCCTAGATATATGACCCCTCTGAGGGACCCCTGTGGTTCAGTGGCTGCAACCTCCGCCATCCTCTCCTTTGCCTCAACGCCCACGTAGGGGGGGCCCGCTGTGCCCTCCTTCCTTCCCTTATCCCCCGAAAGAAGGGTACTGAACAGACGCTGGATCTTCAAGCCTTGCAAACCAGACCCTAACCCATTTAACTGTTCCCATCACCCAAGTATCCGGTTTCCCATCTGCATCAAAGTTATTTCATTCCACAAACATTTATTGGGTGTCTAAAATGTGCAGGACCTTTGACCACCCAACTCTCCTCAGTGTCACCCCACCATCATGACCAGGAACATGGCATGGGGCTGCTCTGAGGCTCTGCCTAGAACCAGATGATGGGGGCAGTTTTACTTAGAAGTAGACCAGACTGAAAGACTGAACATCTGTGAGCCTGTCCTCAGGAGCTCTTTCGTCTGCTCTTCAGGGGAGCCATTTTGTATCAGCCTACAGAATCTGACACAGCACACGAAATCTTCAAAACATGAAAGAGCAGTGATCTCCACCATCGTTTTCTTTTCCCAGCCTTGTACTCCGAAACATGTGTCTTATAAGAGCAGGTCATTCAGGAAGAGCAATCCCACTCAGAGTGGATTATTTATTTATTTATTTTTGGTAACAGGGATTGAACCCAAAGGTGCTTAAGCACGGGGCCACATCCCCAACCCATTTTTTTGCATTTTATTTAGAGACAGGGTCTCACTGAGTTGCTAAATGCCTTGCCAAGTTAGTGGGGCTGACTTTGAACTCACAAATCCTCCTGCCTCAACCTCCCAAGTCGCTGGGTAAAATCTTTGACTTATCAAAAATGGAACCTTTCTATTTTCAGGGATCAGACTGTACCCCAGGAGAACTCTTTCCCAGAACAAATCTATGAATTGAAGGCAGAGAACACCTGGCAGGCAGCAGGGCTTCAAAGCCATGAGATCTCAGAAGGGATAGGCCTGAGGCTGCAGAGGTAGCAAGCTGGGTGGCGCAGGGCATCTCATCTTGAGGGTTCTTGGGTGAAGAACCCCATTAAGCCTGGGGTGGGGGCGGTCTGCAAATACTTTTCTAACTCTATCAGCCTCCAAAACCAATAATCTTAGAATCAATTTTTCTAATGACATAGTTACCTAAAAATACGATCTAACGCTTTTATAGCATTTCATATCTAAGAGCTCAGTTATGCACTTTTTGACAATTTGAGCTTTCCTGTTTTTTTAACCAAGCCAACTAAAGTACAAGCACCTTTAGATATATCGATCAAAAATCCTTAAATGCACAAAATTGGACAAAATCTTTAAAATACATATGAACACATACGATTTTTAAAAGGTCACATAGATCACGTGGCCTATGAAATGCTGCATGTATGATTTTTGGTGTGAATTTTTAGTGATTATATTATTGGGAAAATTGATTTTAGAATTGCCTCTAGACTAGATTCCACTTCTTATTGCCCTTTTCTTGCCTTTACCATTTTTCCTCTTTTAATTTCTTATTTATAGGTTTTCTACACCTTAATACTTATTTATTCTTTTTCATTGCCCCCTCACCCCTCCTTAGGTCTTTTCTTCTCTTTGGTCTTCCCGTCTTCACCTCCTCCACTGCCCCATGAGTAGTTGCCTTCCACTGCCTTTCTCGGCTGTTTACTCTCTGATCTTGTGATTCTAGTCAATACCCCTCTGGAGAGTACCTCAGTGCCCTTCTTATGTTCTGGGCACTGAGCTATGCCTGGTACAGAGGCAAAAAGCAGTATGGCTTAGTCCTGGCCTCTTGAAACTCACAGTTCCAGTGGGACATCACTGCTTATGACCAGTTCTGAGAGAAATGCAAAAGAAGGTATCCCGGGTTGTGAGCACAGGACCGAGAGCCCAGCACATTCCGCTGCACCTGCGCCACATTCACCTCCCCTTCCCAGCTCCCTGAAAAGAAATGAAGTTGAGTGAGCCTCTCTTACCTCTGGACCTGTCTTTCTTCCACTCTGCTTCTTGCACAGATATGTCTATGTAAGGGCCTGGAGCTCTGTAACCAGGAGCCCAGTGGGGAGAGGGCTTTGTTTCCTCCGTGGAGAGGAACTTAAATAAAGAGACAGGAAGAACCCTCGTAGCGAGGCTTCTCTACCACCCAGGCTTGGGCCAACCCCCAACGTCAGGGAAGATGTCAGAGTGAAAATGCCAAAGTCATGGGAAAATTTTAAGCAGAATCAGGCCGGAGCCCATAGTGCCACTGTCACTGTTGAGAGGCAAGAAAAGACTCCCTCAATGATGCAGCCAGATCTGGTGGGGCTTCAGGGAAAGAAGTGAGAAGCACTTGTGAGCTTACAGTTTCCCTACGCTGATAACACTACTAGTTCAGCTTGCAACACCAATAATTAATACAGTGGTATCACTTACCACTTTGTAACTCCCTTTTGGGGGGGAGGCAGTTACAGCGATTGCATCCAGGAGTACTTAACCACTGAACCCATCTCCAGCCCTTTTTAGTTTTTATTTTAAGATAGGGTCTCACTAAGTTGCTGAGGCTGGCTTTGAACTTGAGATCCTCCTACCTCAACCTCCTGGGCCGCTGGGATTATAGGTATGCTCCACTACACCGGCCACTGCTCTTATGCAACTTCTCTTTTCACAACATATTGTACTTAAGAGTTGTGTTAATAAAATTAACATTTACTGCTTCATCAAGGGCATTCTTCAGTAAAACTGGCATTATTATTATTTTTTCTTTTTTTATTGCAAGTGCCTGGTTTGGTGCCACTGCTTTGATTTGTGCTAAGGCAGCAGTTTTATCCAGATTGCTTTTGCAACATCATTATGATGTCAACACAATTACAAAGAATAGCCAGTCACTTTTATAAAAATAGTTTGAACTTGAAGATACCCTGAAAGGTATCAGGATCTCCCAGAAGTCAATAGGCCACCACACTTACACTTTGAGAATGAGGACTCCATGTAATTTTTATTCATTCTTCAGGTTTTAGCTATCACTTCACTTGTCCCCCAAGTCTGTTTTCTCCTTCCCTTGTAATAGAGCCCTCATTTTTAGCTGACCTCATATATATATATATATATTTTTTTTTTTGGTATCAGGGATTGAACATTGAACTCAGGGATGCTTAACCCCTGAGCCACATCCCCAGCTTAGTTTTATATTTTATTTAGATACAGAGTCTTGCTAAGTTGCTTAGAGCCTTGCTAAATTGCGAAGCTGGCTTTCAACTCACAATCCTTCTGTCTTAGTCTCCCAGGCCTCTGGAATTATAGGCATACACCACTGTGCCCAACAAAAATAAATAAATAAATACTTTTTTTGTAAAGAGGTCTTGCTATACTGCCCAGCTGTTCTCAATTCCCTAGGCTTGAGTGATTTTCCTGCCTTGGCCTCCATAGTAGCTGGGACTACAGGCATGCACCACCATGCCCAGCTTTAGATACATAGAATTAATAGATATTTCCCAGCTTCCCTTGCAGCAGGGAGGTGACCAAATAACTTATTTTCATTAATAAATATAAATGAAAGCGTTAGGCCATGCGTCGTGTCACATACCTATAATCCCAGTGACTTGGGAGGCTGAGGCAGCAAGATTGCAAATTCAAGGCCAGCCTGGGCAACTTAGCAAGACCCTGTCTCAAAATAAAAAATTAAAAAAGGCCTGGGATATAGCTCAGTGATTAAATGCCCCTGGGTTCAATCCCCTGCCGGGTTTCTGTTCTCGAGACTAAAAGGCTCAGGGGTCACTCCAGTTAAACTGGGCTAACTGGGCTACACGAAATAACCACACAAGAGACACAAATACCTTTTTCTTTGGGGTCGCTCTGACGGCTCCTCTGACCTTAAGGGTCCACAGGAAGAGAGAGAGTGAGAGCACACACTGACCCCTTTTATTGAGGAGAATTTATTTAAATGAGGCAAGGGGTCAGGTTTCAGGGGGCTGAGTGTCTTCATAATGTCCACTATCAGCAGGTTGAATGACACCTGGGTAGGCCACACCCAAGGGCACAGTAAGAGAAGGGAACACATACAAGGCACTTCCATGGAAGATTCTATCCTAAACAGGGAAAGGGGTTATATTACAAAGGAACAGGTGAGCATAGCTTCACCCATGGGGCTGTAGGAAGGCACACCCATGCACGAGACACCGACCCTCGCACCCAAGAAGGGTGCCACATTTCTGTGACTGAGAGCCTCAGCACCCAGCCGGGGAGTGTAACTCAGTTACATGTAAGGTTGACCTCCCACAAACCCCAGTACCAGAAAAAAAAAAAAAAAAGAAAGAAAAATATTAGGTGCAACCTCTGGGTTGTTCCTTGAAAGAAGCCAACTATGGGGGCTGGGGTTGTGGCTCAGCGGTAGAGACCCTGGGTTCAATCCTCAGCACCACATACAAAAATAAGCAAGTGAAATAAAAGTGTTGTGTCCAACTACAACTAAGAAAAAAGAAAAGAAAGAAAGAAGCCAACTATGGATATCCCTTCCTAAGGCTTTCTCCTTGAAGGCTGGGCAGAATAGGAATACCAGTCCTATAGCTTACAGCCAGTCTTCCCTCATTTACATTACCTAGCAGCCTCCTGTAGGCGTTTAAGTTTGTGTCCTCTGCTCTAGTCTAAACCTCTCCAATCGTTCGTTCATATATTGAACAAGTGTTAAGTGTCTCCCAGTGCAAAGAACTCTGCTAGATGCTGGGGATGTGATGTTGGGTATAACAGATATTTTCACCCAAGCTCTGGCTTCTGACATGAACACTAAACAATGAATTATTTCATTATGAGTAGCCAAGTGCTACAAAGGGAGAAGCCCAGAGTACTGGGAGAGCTTATCACAAGGAAGCCTTATTTCAACTGAGAGAAGTGTATTGTAATCATTGTGAGTTTGGGTTCCACTACAAGTGAAAGAAAATCAAAATGAAGCTGGTAGCGGTGACATGTGCCTGTAACTCCAGCTACCAGGAAGGCTGAGACAGGAGTATCTTGAGTTCAAAGCCAACCTCAGCAACTTAGTAAGGCCCCAAGTAACTTAGAGAGATCCTGTCTCTAAAAAAAATTTAAAAAGAGCTGGATGTGGCCCAGTGGTTAAGTGTCCCTAAGTTCAATCCCTGGTATAAAAAATATAACAATAATTGTAGAAGTTCAAATGAGACTGTAATTTATTTCCCACATGAAAGAAGTTTGAAGGCAGGTGTTTCAGAGATGAGGAAGCACCATGCCATACCCTAGCCCCAGGATCTGGGTTTGTTTAAATCCCTGTAACTTCTATGATCATGACTTCCAAAGTTTGAGAAGGCTACCAAATTTCCTTGGCTGGAATGCGTTTCCTTTATGATAAGATCTCTCAGTACCTAGTGCTTCTCCCTTCTTAGTACTTGTCCACTCAAATGGAATGACTCACTGTTTAGTGTCTATCTCACTAAACAAGATCATGGTAACTGTATGTCCCTTTGCACTCTACCCTCAGCAAACTAGCAAAGCAGCTTGGCCACCTGGTAGATGCTCAGTACTTATTAAATGCTTTTTTTCCTCTCTCTCTCTTTCTCTTTCTCCCTTTCTTTCTTTTTAGGTACTGGAGATTTAACCCAGGGGCATTCTATCACTGAGCTATATAGCCCCAGCTCGTTTTTATTTTTATTTTGAGACAGGGTCTCTAAGTTGGCAAGGCTGATCTCAATCAACCTTGTGATCCTCTTGCCTCAGCCTCCTGAGTTATTAGGATTATTCACCCTGGCTATAGATAAGACTGGCAGGATAATGTGATACAGGGAGAGTTTTGGGATAAGAAGATAGTCCATAAGGAGGAATCCTAACTTGTTGCTTCTGGGTTGGCTGGATTTATAAGCAGGATTCGATGGCCCAACTGGTGGGTCACCTGGGGTTTGAGTCAAGGTTTTAATACGCATTCAGAATGTGAAATTGACCTTGTTGTTGTTGTTGATTTGGTAGCAGAGCTGTTAACTGATCAACTTCCCTTATCTCTCCTGCCCTCCATTCTCTGACCCTTTAAATTAAATTTGGGACATCCTAGAATTTTTCTCTTATCAACATGTTTGTGCAATCATCACCACCATCTATCTCTGGAACTTTTTCATCTTTCCCAACTAAAGTTTGGCACTCATTGAACACTCCTCATTCTCCCTCAGTTCCTGGCTATTGAATACTTTTTTTTAAAAATTTTTTTAGTTGTAGTTGGACACAATACCTTTATTTTTTTTTTATTTTTATGTGGCGCTGAGGAACGAACCCAGCACTTTGCATGTGCTAGGCGAGTGCTCTACCCCTGAGCCACAACCTCAGCCCCTTGAATACTTCTTGAAGGAATGAATAAAGACTACCTTAGCAGAGGTCACAGTATAATCAACTTCAGGAGCCAGGTAATATAAATTTAAAAAGCTGGCTCGGGCTGAGGGTTTAAGCTCAGCCCTCACCTGGCATGAGTGAGTCCCTAGGTTTGGTTCCCAGTACTGCCAAAGAAAAAGGAGAAAAAAAAAAAAAAAAAAAAGCCAGGCATGATGATGTACGCCTACAATCCCAGTGGCTCCTGAGGCTAGAACAGGAGGATGGCGAGTTCAAAGTCAGCCTCAGCAATTTAGTGAGGTATTGAGCAACTCAGTGAGATCATGTCTTTAAATAAATTGTTTTTAAAAAGGGCTGGGATGTGCCTCAGTGGTTAAGCACCCCTGGGTTAAAAAAAAAGAAAGAAAGAAAGAAAGAAAAAGACAAACAAAGGAGGTTCATTACTATAAACAAGAGGGAGGGTAGGGACTGAGACAAACTGAAGAATACCACCTCATCTAATAATTGCAGCTGCCACCTATGTAGCCCCAGTCAAGTAATACCAAAGTTGAAGTAATACCAAAATGTGAACCCAGAGTTGCCAGCTCTATCAAAATTTGTATAGAAAATGGAAAACCAGACCTTCATATAGTATCTCCTCATTTTAATGTTGGCAATGAATTTAATCTTGTTTTAACACTGAGCACTTCAAACAAAGCTTTCCCAGGGCTGGCTCTAGCTTCAGATCCACCAGTTTGCAACCTATGGTGGACTTGTAAAAGCCTTCCAGCTCTGTGTCTGTATCTTCTGCAATTGTCTATGCAGATGGGT